CCTCCTGGTCGAACAGAATGTCGTAGAGGATGCCACGCACGGCGCATGAAACTTAACAAGCTAGTTGGCAACTGGTCGGTGGTAGGAGTCCATCGGAAGAATTTTTCTCAGTGCTACAGATACGTACGCTGATCGCTTGAGTTCAGATCTACGCGAGTTCCTCTCGTAAGGATGAGTGGCGAAACGCAGGAGCCGGCATGAGTGGTAGTATGTACATGAGTAGGTTTTAGTACTTGTTAATATATACGGTAGTAGAGTAAGTGTCATTGGTAAAATGGTGTCTAATGAGGAACAACTGTAGCACATCTACCGCACAGGACATCTTGTGGCGGTCGACTATAAGTCCAACAGCGAGGACATTTTGCCAGAGTCGACGGGCGCACACGGATACCAAGCTCGTCTTCGCAACCTAAAACCACTGTCAATAAGCTATTTAGAGATTTAAACCAAGCACAATACCTGGAATTGCCATGGAAGTGGTGTAAACCCATTCCGGGGACGAAGTGCCCAGGGACCCTTCATTCTCTACGTACGCATCGGACACGATGAAGATGGTCTTCAATGAATCTTCTACAGGTGTCACAGAAAGAGTGAGTTCAGCTATAGTCTCGGACGAATGAATAGGCTCTACCATTGTCCCTTAATAGCTTTACGAGCTGGGAATCTTCCGCGTCGCCTGTAACGATGAGGTCGACTTCTGCTTCCAACGAGTTCTTCAGTTGCCTGCAAATCGACGCTCAGCAACTCCGATATATTTCAGGCAGAAACATCCGTACTTTGCCTGGCGAGCCTGCTCCAGAAGAGATAAAACGACGCTGCGTACGCCAAGCAGTTGGTCCATCTCTTCCCGAACTTCCGGTTCATGCCATTCAGCGCCCTGAAATGCAGTCTATATTAACTGTCGTGGACGTAGCAATGTTTGAATAGAGGACTCGCCAAAGGAGTGGGCGTCGTCGCAAACACGGAAAGACCAGCAGCTTTGTCTGTGCCTCGTTGGTTGATGTGATGAATCTCCTCTGCTAGGTGAGGCAGGACCGGAGCCATAACGGACGTGATGGTGGACAGAGTCTTGTGGCCAGCCTCAGTATCGCGATACAATATGTGACGCGTATAGAGACAATACCTGTGCAAGAACAGTCACGACTGCCCTGCGCTCAGGGCTGTTCAAAGCGTTGGCGTATAGGCAGTCTTTGGTGATATCCAAGTAGAATGACGAAAGTGTAACGTTCGCCAAGTTGATAAGTGCCGTCATTGCTGCAAAAAAATATACCAGTCAATCGCTTTATCTGTTGTGACTCGAGGCTTTAGACGTACCTTTCGCAAAGTTGTATGACTCGTAACCTTCTCGTGCAATTGTCTCCACATTGTACAGTTCGTTCATCACATAGCGCTCTATCTGAGCAAAACAATGAGATAATTGCGAATGTTAGCTTCAGTGGCTTCAGCGCACGCACCAGACCCATGGCTTCTCTGGGGACAGGTATGAAATCACGTCGGCTTTCCGCGTCACCGATGTTGCCGAGGATGAACCGTGCAGAATTGCGAATCCTTCGTAACGACTCTGAGCATTGCGAGAGTACAGTAGGTCCGATTGGCATATCGTTAGAGTACTCGACCGTGGCAGCCCAAAGCCTCAAAACGTCCGCTCCGTATGCAGGGTTTTTCTGTTTGTCCTATCCACAAGATGCAGTATTAGTTCGGCGATCCCATTCACGAGATAGAGAACACACCTTTCCACCATTGATGATAGTCATAGGACTGATGATATTTCCGTCCGATTTGCTCATTTTCTTGCCCTTTTCATCGAGCACCATTCCATGGGTGATCAATGTGCCATAAGGACTGGCAGGATTTGCGACACCAGAGTTCGAGCCGATACATGTTAAGAGCTGGCTCTGGAACCATCCTCGATGTTGATCGGAGCCTTCGAGACAAACATCCGCGAGATGCCTTCGTCCGGACTCAGGAGCAGCGAAACCCGTTTCCTCCAGCATCGACCACGAGCTACCGCTGTCAAACCACACGTCCATGGTATCTGTGCCCTTCTCCCAAGGTCCTCCGCGCCCTGCGAGCGAAGGCGGAACGAATTCTTCGGCGGGGCCGTCCCACCAATACTCGACGCCTTTCTCCGAGAGGATTGGTAGGATATGGCTCAAAGTCGTGGAATCGAGAATTACAGTATCGGAGGGAACGTGGCGCAAGGCAGGAATAGGGACGCCCCACACGCGTTGGCGAGAGATACACCATTCTGAGCGATCGCGAACGTATGTCTGCAGTCGGTTGCGAGCTATGATACGGCAGTCAGTAGTCGATACGAACAACAGAAATGACACGCTCTTACAGGCCTGAGGAATAAAGTTGACATCCTGTAGGGCGCCAAGCGCATCATCTTTGATATTCTCAAGGTTGGCGAACCATTGCGAGGTGGCACTGTACTGGGATCAGAAGTCTGTTGTGCTGTTGGTTTAGACACACGCACGTTACTATTATTGGTTTCTTGGTTTTCCAATCATATGGATACTTGTGTTTGTACTTCTCGACTGCCCACAAAGTCCCTGTCTGGCGCAGCAATTCGACGACAGCTGTCGAACCACCCTTGAGGACCTCGTTGCCGATCAAGGACTCAGCAGCGTCCGCCCCCACGACATCAATGACTCCTTGTGTGAACTTGCCCTCTCCGTCAACGTGGCAGAGCATAGCCGTATCCGACGAAATGAGGCCTTGGCTACGAAACGCGGTGTAATCCTCCGCACCATGTGCAGGCGCACAGTGGACAAGGCCGGTCCCAGATTTAGAGTTTACGTGCGAGGCTGGTATGATATTGAAGGGCGTCGCTTTACCTGGGTTGAGACGATGAAAGATGGGTAGATACGTAGCATCGAGAAGGTCAGACCCTGCAAACGGCTGTCAGTGGACATTCAACATGCAGGCGTGGAAAAGTTATCACCTCGCAGGCTCGTAATAACGTCCACAGGTCCGGTGATCTTCGCTAGCGCATGGACTCGCTCAGTAGCCACGATCAAGAGGTCACCACCATGTTCTGGCGTAGTAAGTTTTACGACAGAGTAGGCTAGGTCAGGATGAACAGCTATCCCCTTTCCGAAACGGTGTCAGATTCGAAGTTTCTGTAGCTGGTGAACGCCTACCATGTTCGCCGTAAGTGTCCAAGGTGTGCTTGTCCAGACGAGAACCTTCGTTTTCAAATCTTGCACCTGTGCCAACGTCAATACCCTCCGAAGAGACGCGCTTGCCTTCGAGTCCGGGATCAAGACGAAGGAAACGTAGACCGAGTGCGAGATGTGTTCTTCGTTGTATTCGAGCTCTGCCTCCGCAAGGGCAGATCTCGAAGACGGCGAATAGTGTACTGGGCGATAATGCCTGTAAATGAGACCTAGGCAGAAGATAAATTCTGACCGTTTGGGATTGAAGGTGCAGGGAAAGGATTACCTCGTTCAACCATTTTCTGGAAGACGCGTAGTTGCCGAATCTCATAAGCACGGTCTGCGCTACTGTCACAAACTGCTCATCCATGGAATGAGTCTACACGTACCTAATGTCCGATATGTAGACCCTTGACTCCAGTCTGCCATGATACCTAGACGTCGAAATTCATCCCGTTGTATTGCTATCTCTCTTTCCGCCGTTGCCTTCGCGGCAGCGCGAATGGTGGACGGCGGTAAGAGCCGGGAATTCTTCTACGAGGAACGTAAGGGATCCTGCAACCAACACAATGATGTCTACGCACTCCCAGCTCTTTCAGAGTTTTGCTTTCTATCGGTAAGCCATGGCAATCCCAGCCGGGCATGTAGCTAACGAAATTAGAGGTACTGTCGCGTAGTGAGTTGCAAAAAACGCACTGCACTTTGCGGCCTTGCAGCACCTGATAACGATTGATTATGTCCTTGATGATTTTATTTAAGGCGTGACCTATGTGGAATTCGTCAACGGTGACATTCGACGACGCGAAAGTGGGACTATACCCATATGCAGACGACCATTGGCGTATGGCGGTCCATCGTGGAATACAAACAGAGGGCCTTGCGCGTTGTTCCACTACTCCAAATTCGATGTTAAAGGTGTGCATGTGCATTCAGAATGTATAGGTGATCTGACCTGCCACTGATATAGGTCCTCGCATGTCTTCCCCTGGAATAGCACCTCGCGCTCCGAGGGGTCGCTGTAGAGTGGAAACGCGGTCTCCGGGAGCAGCAAAGTAGCTGAAAATGCTTTATTGTCGACAGGTGCAGTAGATTTCTCCGCAGAGTGTGGGCGACTGCTCGATAGATTTCGGCGGTGGCAAACGAATGTACGTCGCAGAGTGCGCGTCCAGTAAGATGACTTTACAAGCATCGCGAGCTTCGTAGACTGCACTGCGCTACCTCTAAGGCATTTGTCCTGTGGGCGTATAGAGCGAACGAGGAGTAAGCAGATGCCCAAGCAAAGGACTCGGACGCGGTGAAGGCTGAGAAAGTGCGTCGCGTCACGGCGTCGCGAAAAGCTGGAAATCGGAACTCGGTAATTGTCGCCGAGTCGGCCTTTCAGCTTTCCTAGTAATCCCTACTTGCCCGATTTAGTAGCTGTGGCGGAAGATTTTTCGCTGCCTTCTTGCCTGTCTTACTTATGCTGTCTCTGTTATGCTGCATCGTCCGAGCCTCGCCCAGAATGACACAAAAGTGGTGAATATGTACGTACTCTATACAGTCTACAACTTTTTATCGAGTGCTCTTTCATGTATTGATACAGTACTGCCCACTTCCTGAGCACCCTATTTTTCCCTGCCCTCCACTTCATCGCCCTGTTTGACTTCGACATCGCAATGTTATCTACCTCGCTACATACAAGAATATTGTGCGTGAGCTCAATCGGGAGGTGCTGTGCACCAGGCAGAACCTCAAAAAAATAGATCTCCGTAGCCCAGAAATTTAATCGTGAATTTGCATCCATTAAGTTTGCTAAGCTTTTGGACAGGCGTATAAAACACCTAAAACTCTCAAAAAACTCTCTCTGACTGGGAATTGAACCCAGGTCTCCCGCGCACGCTTTGGAATTGAGTGACAAGCGGGCGTACTGACCATTATACTATCAAAGATAGGATGAGAGGAGGTAACCGCTGTGCCACGGCTCCTTGAAGAATGCGAAGGCCAGTCGCTTTGTCTCGACACTAGGAATTATCGCTCGAATAACTTTTATCACCGCCAACGTGCTGTCCATATTTTGCTATCCCCACTGCCATTGCACTAAGCCTGGTAATAGCTACGTACCTATGTAGAAATCGCTTGAAACCGAGGAGTTTGAAAACCAGCCGTTTTTTTTACATCCGATTCCCGACTCTGATACTAAGTACTGTATTTCGGTCGCGACGCGTCCACAGTGATTCCTCTGGAAATCCCCAGAAACATGTCGACGTTGTTCATAGATTGACCTCCATCAACTGCACCGATGGGTTCCAGACTTTTCTGGTGTGCATCGTGCAGCATCTGGCGAGTTGGAGAAGTCTGTCATACTGCTGACAGGAAACGCTGCCGCATATGCAGGCAGGTATAAAGGAGGTGTGTCCTGCAACGACGACTCGACATCAGCAGTAACTTGCAACCACTCAAACAAGTCGTCTACTCTTAACACCCTCCAAACACCGTACTCTCGTACACATCATGTCTTTCAGCGACCTTTTCCGTGTCATCGACGACCCCTTCTTCGGCAGCGCGAGGCCTACCTTCTACGCCCCTGCGCGCGCACTCCGCGAAGCTCCCTTCCCCCAAAACTCCCCCAGCAACAGCCGGTCTGGCGTTGACCTGACCGAGGAAGGGAACAACTACATCGTCGAGGCAGAGCTGCCCGGCGTCAAGCGGGAGAACCTTAACGTCACCGTGGGTGATGGTGGGAGGAGTGTCACGATCGAGGGGAAAGTCTTCCGACGCAACCGGGGCATCATCGTGGGCACGCAGAACGCTGCAATCGAAGGCGCGCCCGGATCTGCTCAAAACACCCCCGCAACAGAAGGTAGGTTTTCCGTCGCCCATTTCTCGTGTTCATGTCAAATACTGACCAGCCACCATCGTATAGGCGGGAAAGCGACTCCGAGCGCCCAGAGTCCAAGCCAGCCTGACTCGACGTACAGCTCAGCATTTACGCGTACTGTTTGGCTGCCTCGCCCTGTCGCAGCCAGCAAAGTACAAGCGAAACTTGCCGACGGGATACTCACTGTGACCATCCCGAAGGCAGAGGAGCCACAGCACGTGCGCGTTGCAGTCCAGTGAATCTCCAAAAACTCGCTCTTTCCACGATGTTACTGGTACCTGAGGGTTGTAGGATGCTGATTGAGGCTCGAGGGCCGCGTTGCACTGAGTCGTGTGTATTTTCAAAACTTTCGCGTGTATTTGTACAAATTTCAATCCATCTCATTTCCACATCGAACCACTTACAACTTCCATTTCTCCTCAACAGGCGGTAAGGGACAGCGCAAGTACCTCGTTGATGCTGAGCACATTCGAAAAATGGAACACTTGTGGTTCCCCCTTGTTCCGTGGTATTCTGCTTGGGTGCGTACTCATCCCGAGGCACTTGTTGTCGCCAATATTGCACTCGATCATACATTTAGGCATGGTATCAGCGCACGCTTGCAAATCCCATGCATCAATTATCGCTGTCCCACCCATAATGCAATTCTGTTGAACAAGTACACGCTAAGCAGTTGACTTTAGTATACATAAATTATTGCCCCTCTCGAAAGATAGTACGGCAAAAGAAACTGAAAAACCCAGGCGGTCGTGAGCGCTCAAAAACCTCTACGAGAGACAAAATTCTGTCCCAAGACAAGATGAGCACCATGTATGAACAGTGACCGCTAGATGTGGACATACCTCCAAGTCATCTTTTGTAGCGACGGCGAGAACAAATTTACGACCATGGTCCGTCACTACCAACGATACTCAGTCTCAAAGAACACAACTCAAGCCACAGGTATGCTTACCTAGAGCGAATAGATTGTGCTGGAGGAACACCTCGAGTTCGGCCAAAGGCGAGGAGGGAGTGATGATGGTATATGGCTGGGATGCTGTCCTCTTGAACTTCGTCATGTATTTCACGACCTTGTCGTTCTATATAGAAATCATGCGCGTGAGTCTACTCATCCCACACGGATTGGGGGGAACGCACTGGGTCGGCTTGGCCTGCTTCCCATTTGCTCTTCAGGGCTGCGACGTCAACATATCCAAGTGGCCTCCGTTCACGATCAAGCACACTGAAACATCGATCGTAGGTGTGAGTATATACGAGTCCTCTAGATTCGTAGAGGCTCACGGTATATGGGAGAAATCACGATCGTAAGCAAGTTCAATGGCTCGAGAGATAGCCTCGTCTTGTGGTAATGCAAAGGCCGGCGGTAGTTGGAGATCCTGAGCATTTTCATGAGCATTAGCATTGCAAACACAGTTCATGAGACGTACCTCTACCACCGCACCACGGTACTTCTGTGCAGCCAGCTGGGAGGATGATCCCGGCGCCGGTGTAGCCATTGTAATCGAATAGACGCCTGGGTTGAGTGAATCGTACGGTTGAAGCGCTCGAGGTGTATCGCTCGCACTGCGCTCGTCGCTTAGGTTGTGGACGAAGATGTACTAAAGCGTTGAAGACTGAAACTAGATCAAACAAATGCACCAATTATAAAGGAGAGCTAGCAAGAGATTTAAAGGCAACAATTGACAAGATCGACGGCCGGATGGCACATCCGGACGCCGCGGAACTAGCGCGGCCGTCCCAAGCGCGTCCGACGACGCGAGCTGCTCTCGACTTGGACGTTAGATTTGTACAATTATTGGATTGAATGCGAGGCAGCAACACAAGGCTAATGATACTCTAGATAGCAAAGGAGAAACAAACGAACTACAGCTCCATCTTGTCCTCCTTCTCCCATCCAGGGTTTTTCTGCAGGATAACAAAGCCCTCGAGCACAGACGCGAACGGAATGAATTCCTCCGTGGCAAGCTCAGCGCGTTCGGTCGTACCCAGCCGCACTGGCGTTTGATGTGTCTGGAACCCAGAGATCGTTCGTGGCTTACCAGCTTGGCCGACGACGTCGACAGCCTGGGGGAGATATTAGATGGATAGATGCCAGGGCCAAGGAGAATATGCTTTACCTGTCCCACGCGGACCGTGACGGGAAGCGCATTCAGGTTTTCGTCGAGCGTGATCAACATCCGTGGGTACATGGCGGTGACAAGGAAGTAAAGCATCCAGTGGTATTTGTCGAGTATGACTGGAACACAGATGTCAGTGAAAACGACGACGCGTAGAGCATACTGAGATCGACTTACAAGACTTCGCATCCGTAAATGCAGTCAGCGTGGCCAGGAGGCCAGCGACAGCCGTCCGGCTCATGATGTTGCGGTCCGAGAAGAATGGGTTCAGACCGATCGTTCCCTTACCCATGTGCACCAAGCCTTGTGCGATGCGGACCATGAACAGAGTGTCAGGCTCCTTGTAGTAGTACCCTGCTAATTGTCGGAGCATCTGCGCAAGGCGCGCGTTATTTGTACCGGCACCAACAAGGCCCATCGCAAATATAGCGTTGATGGCGACTGTTAAGTCGTTGTCGTGGCTGTATTTCGAGAGAGTGTCGAGTATGGGGAGCTGGGGGTTGGAGCAGCTGACGAGACCGATTGCGAGGGGGACGGCTCGTCGGATGACAGGTTCGCCGTAGTGCATCTGTACGGATATCAGAAAACAAGTACGCGAAAGAGACAGAGATGAGACGTACGAGGTGGTTGAATTGCCGCAACGACATCTCGGCACCAACTTCCTCGCCCATCGACACGAGCGCGATGCCGAGCACGGCGAATGCCTGGAAGGTGTCGTCCTGTGGCTTTTTCTCCGCCTCGTCTTTGTTCTCCTCCTTCCCGTCTTCCTTGTCCTTCTCCCCGGCTGCGGTGATGTGCTCATCGCAGTAGTGCAGCATAGCCTGCACCTTGAGCACGTTGCCAGTCCCGGCGTAAGAGCAACCCTCCACGAGGATCTGCGCGGTCTTGGAGAAGGGATGCTCGATCGCCTTCAGCGTCTCGATGGTGGCATCAGACGACTCCTGCAGGCCGAGATAGAGAAGCGCCAATCCCAGACCCATGAACCGCGCCCACTTCTCATCCAATGCTTTGTCCTCCCGCTCCATGAGCGTCTGTAATATCGTGCTCGTCACCTCGCCGTTTCCACTACCGACGAACACGAAGCCCAGGGCGAGTGCGCTGAGAGACGCGATTTCCATGGAGACGCCGTCGTCCGCTACGGCAGGGAGGAGGGCCGCCAAGAGGTCTGCGCGATTTGAGCCGACGTACGCGAGTCCGAGGCCCATGATGGCGCTCGTTTTGAGCGGCACAGACTTGTTCTCGACGTATTCGCTGAGGAGAGCCATGGCGGCATCGGCTTCTGTACGCACACCCGTGTTCAAGATACCTGTTGCGAGCAGTGCGCCGGCCTGAGTGAACAGAGTCAATGTCATGTACGCCGGCAATGAAGGGAAACTATGGTACCTTGATATGCTCTTCCGAAGAATACGTGTATTTGTCTACGTGACTGAGACCGACATCCGTGTCCCAGAGGAGACTGAGGCCCAGACTTGCAGCGGCACTCATCATGCCTACAGGGCGTCAGTAACTCAACACAGGATCGCTAAGAGATGACTGCACACCATGGTCTTTGTTCTTGTAGATCCAGCTCGCGCCTTCCTCAGCCTCCACCATAAGCTTGTCATTACCAAACCCAGCATTGACGAATGCGTTGACAAAAGTACCCGCAAGATTACCCCGCGCCGAGTCCACAGTCGTCACAGCCGCCACCCCTAGTTACGCTTGTCAGCGATGCCCATGAGCAACAGGCAGAGACATGAACGTACTGGTATTATCCAAATGGCTCTTGTACACATCCTCCAAGCTCTTGGGGTCCGCCACGCCGAGATCCTTGCCAAACTGGCGGAAGTGGGTGCTCAGGTTGCTGTTGCTCAGACACTCCAGCAGGTCGTCCGGGAACGACGGCTCCTCGCCATCAGGATCTTCCGCGCCCGGGGGACTCAACCATTCAATCGGTATCTGCGCCCGTGCGAGT